TCCCCCCCTCCACCCATTTCCCTTTCGTACGTAACGTGTTTAGTTTCAGCATGTATGTTTAAAGTGTCTTTGCATTAGGCCTGCCATACCAGTCATACCACTTGCTACTCAGTGCCTTATTTGTCATTGTTGAATGTGATAGGTGTGCTCTTAAATGATATGCATGTTGTGCTCCACTGCCACTGTATTGATCTGTTTATACTTGTAATTGGTATTTTAAACACTGTATGAGTAGCAATCCATAGCTAAATATGTCTACTTATTTATTTATCTGTTTGTAGAATAAAGGGCTAACAAATGTAACCGTCACATTTAATGCTCAAATAAATTATTATTATAATTATTATTTTACCTCTCTCTCTCTCTCTCTCTCTCTCTCTCTCTCTCTCTCTCTCTCTCTCTCTGTGTGTTTGTGTACTTATCTATACCCCCCCCTTGTGATTAATTAACAGAACACATAAAGGGCTACAGTTATTAAGATATAACCTAGGCAGTTGTATTTCTGGCAGTACATACAGTATATTGACCTCAGAGCCCAACAAGCCAAAATTGAATTACACTGACTGAAGCCAAATTTTTCACTCATGTATCCCCGCTGGATTTCGTATCAATTCTAAGTCATAAAAGGTAAAATGTAGGCTACTAGTACATGAAAGTGCATATATCTTTTCATTGAGTGTAAGATTTATTTAAAATGACGACCCAAAGTTTCTATTTTTTACATAAAACGTACATGTACAGTATGCAAACAATGTCGTACACAAGGGACGCGCATAAAAATATTTGTTAGAAAAATCCAAAACACATTTGGAGAATTTTTAACAATGAAAATTTATTTGGCTTAACCGAAATGGTAGGGACTATCAATTTAAAGCTACTTCTTTTAGAGCGCGTTCAGAACAATTTGATCCGCCGACTAACTTGTCCGCGAATCAAATATGGTGCAACCCACTTGAAAGCGTGCCGAGATTAAATTGCTCTGCCCCTGTTGGGACGGCGCGCGTGGGAGGCAGGGATCCACTTGTCCTAGCGTTACGCATACTGAATTAAAGAAAAAAAAAAAAAAAAAAAAAAAAAAAAAAAAAAA